ATTTTACTTCACTATTAATTTCCTTGATTATAAAATGTATGATCCCATATGGAATGACTAAGTGCTATTCCCCCACTACAATCCATGTCCATTTCTGTCAAATGTTTATTAAAAGTAAAAAAAGGTCGCAAAATTCATTTATCAATGTGATACTTTCAGTTCTTAAAGCTTCATCTTGTGTTGTTGAGTAATAACTACATATCTACAAAAGGTATTATGCCTTTGCACATTTTCTTTGTTATCACCACCATACGTGAAAAATGAAATAATGAAGATTTGTATAAACTTAAAATTCTATATGTAGAAATAAAAACAGTCTTCATCTTGTTGCTGCACAGTTGATTTAATTAAACGAAGCAAGAAAAAAAGGACGGATTTAGAGATTACATGCGAGAACCCTTCTGCTGCAGAACCTAAAATACAATTTAACAATTGAAACTTATTAAGATTATATTAAAATATTTGTATTACAAATTGCATTTTTACAAAAGGAAATAAAACTTTTTGTAAGACAAATGAATGTCAGTTATCTTTAGCATTGTTCAGCCTCTGCATTTTGTTGTATATGTAAACATTACATTACATTAAAATTCCTATAAATTTTTACAAAAATATTCCAATGACAGTAACTGAAGATTTTTGATCATGGTAAAAAAAATAGTGTGATACTATTACTACTACTACTACTAGTTTTATAAATTATTTAGTTTTCAATAATGTTGTATACATTTAGTATATTTCAACAAAATTTCTTAAACAATAAATTTTACTATAAGTGTAATAGTAATATTTTTTCAAAGGTAATTCTGTCATGCAATAATAAATCATGCAGGATATAGGGTAAAAAGTAACCAAACCAATAAAAGAAAAATTTCTTTATTTTCTATTTAGCATGCGATACAAAAAAAATAATGTGGTACATACAGCACATGTCAGAGGCAGAACATGCTCATGCAAATTGGCCCCTGAATTGGCACTTATTAATATGAAATATTTTGATAAGTAAAACAGAACTAATTTCTAATAACATCATACTTTAATTGAAATTACAAAAACTACAGATGGTAAAAATAGAGATATTTGTAACTTTTTGGTAAAAACAATATAAAATAAATTTTTGCATAAAATGTAATTTCTATTTAAAAGTCATTATGAAGAACTTTCATATTGTCTTGTGTTATAAAACAAGTATTTATAACATATTCTACATCAAGTAAAAGATTTATAGATAAAAATATTAAAATAAGTGTAAATGTAACTTATATATGTTCATAACAATTGTACAAGTGATCCTTGGTTTCTTTAGTAAATGTTCATCAGTCAAATTCAAATCACATCTCCTATAACTTCACTAGAATTATTGTTACATACATTATTATTATAATACATTTTATTTAGGTTTTATATTTACTTATTACAATTATTAAAAAAAAAGTCGATATTTATTACAATTAGATTTATACCTTTTATATAATCAACATAATACTATGATAATACTGATACACTATAAATCTTTTGCTTCAAATATTACAATTCCATGTCTATTAGTTGTCATTCCAATATTTTATTAATTAAAATGTTTAATAGCAAAGTATAAATACTTAATTATTAACATTAATAGTATAACCTGACATTGAAGCCATGATATAATAAAAATGTAATAAAACCAAAATTATATAGTAATTTGACAAAATAATAGAGAACTTATATGTGATTGCTTTGATTGAAAGAATGATGTGAAAAACTTGAATACGATAATGGTACCTTAACACGATCTGTTGATTCTTGTTCCTTGCTACTGAGCTGACTGGCCCCATATTCACGACTAACCACACATAGAAATTCAGCATGATCATCATTTCCATAATTGTATTGAGATCCTATGTTGATTAACTAAAACATACAAAAGTAAAATTTGTTTAATATTTTTTTACTCTAACTTGTGAATTAAATTTTATGACTGTTGTAAAATTGTTTGAATAATAAAATATTATATTTTCACATGATTAATTAAATAAAAATATTGCTTTTAGTTTTACATGTAAGGAATACCTGCTCAAATTTCCACCCATCAGACATAGTTGATACCATTTGAGTTAATTCATCCTCATGACATTGAATTACTCTATAAACATGCTTTTTTGAATCTCGTAATGGTCTAGTATCTCTTAATATTATTCTTTCTTCAACTAGCCGAATTAGTTCTGTAATATTATAAAATTCTGCTTCTTCTAAAACTCCTTCTTCTGTTAAATCTTTATTGATGACCAATTTTCCATGACGTAAATAATTTAAAACAGGACTAAAATATGTTGGATCACGATCTATCAAATATGCTCCAGTGTGATCCTGTAGAATGAGATGTACAAAAAAGTTTGTCTATTTAATGTATCCTTTTTTAGAGTCTATGTTTTATTTCATATTTTCATATAAAACTATAAATTATTTCATAATAACTGACATGTTACATTATGCATAGCTAATGTGCAATTACCTAAATATGATGTATGTCAAATTAGTATATTAAATTAGGTATAAATTTTTTAAACTATCAACAATTATGACAACTTCTTATATTAGTTAAATTTGCATCTCTCTTATACATAAAATGTTTACAAAAACAATTAAATTGACTTATGTAAATATTGTCTTTATTAAACATATATAAATTGTAACTAACATTTATATATAGAAGAAAATATTTAACGATGTTTGATAATCTTTTAAAGTTGGCGGTTATTTAAAAACATCAACTAACCCTGTCCGAGATAAGGTCAGAATCTTCTTGACACAATCGGTAGAGAAACGAATTAGGGTCTCTAGCTAAAGTAGTTTTTGTTGTCAAAAAATATGTACCACCAACATTTAATCGAACCCACTGGTTATTACACCGTTTCTGAATATGATTTTCTGTCATTTCGTGCGAATTCGTGTCACTGAAATCCGCCATACTTGCTCCAAACTCAGCAAGTTTAGTTCACAGATTTTGTGACAAATCAAATCAGTATCTTAATATTACACTTATATACACTTATGAAAATAAAAATTATATCATAAAAGTTTTTCAAATTAAACTTAAACATTATGTTTCAGTAATTGATATAATTTATTGCAGTGGAATATACAATAATACTATTAGAATTATAACACTTTACGGCGGGAAAACAAATTAAAATCATTAATTGCAAAAAAATAAAAGCATATATTTTTTTATTTAATTTTTCAGAATAAAAATTCTGATTTATATATTGTATAAAATAATAATAGCAATATACTAACGAAATTAATAACAGAAGTATAAAATTTGAAAGAATTAAAGAAAATTGATATTTAAATTATTGGTAAGTAACATGTATCTATACATCCGGTAAAGTAGAACTGAAGTTTCATGTGACATAATACAAGTTGACGAAACAAGTGAAAATTGTGTTTTTCATTTTAGTAGCTAAAGGTTATCTTCCTTGACTAATAAAAATAATTTAAATTGCTTATTTAGATGAAAGAGTAGGTTTTTCTTGTGGTACGTCAAACTCATCCTTTATGTAAAAATCACGACCGCAAGTGTGTCTGGGTTCGAGGCTTCGTATAAATACATCTACGTCCTGAAAATTACCGGCAGTCATTGCGAGAGTTTTGTGATGAAGAGGTTGTCGCCCAAGGAGGGCAAATTTTAAGAGTGTTCACTTGAGCTGAGAATGCCGGTGAAAGTTGACGTAGTACCACCACCGCCCGCAAACTCAAAGCAGCCGGGTGTCGCAAAATCTTTGCTCTACAACGGTTCACGATTTCAAGGTTCTCAAAAGTCTAAAGGCAATAGTTACGACGTAGAAGTAGTTTTGCAGGTTAGTTCTCCGTCGTTCTGGAAATTGCGCCACAAATATCCCAAAATTCTATTGCAGGGTTGACATCTGTCTACTACGTAATGATTAATTATATGTCTTTTATCTTTGAAATATTTTATAATTTTTCGAATTGAAATTAGTTAATTGCATTGTTTACACATTCAAAAGTTCAAGATTTAAAATAACCTACTAAATAATTTGCAGAAGTTTTTCTCATACTTTTAGTATAAATTCTTATATTTTGATTTACATCCAACATTATTTTATCATAATGAATTTGTAGAAAGATAAGTATGATATAAAGATATACAAATAGAACTTGAAGCAATATATATTAATTTGGTCTAAGCTTGATTAAAATGTTTGTAAAATTAAATGGTACATGTTCAAAAATGTGCATTGAACGTTATTTTCATGTTAATAAGATATATATTATTTTCTTATTGCAGCATGTAGATGAAGAAAACAGTTATTTGTGTGGCTATTTAAAAATTAAAGGACTTACAGAAGAATTTCCTACTTTGACTACATTCTTTGATGGTGAAATTATATCGGAGAAATATCCATTTTTAACTCGTAAATGGGATGCAGATGAAGATGTTGATAGGAAACATTTTGTTTGTATCTTATTATATATTTTTAATTTTAATAAACATTTGTTATATTCTGTTTCTTTATAATTACAGAGTAAATTTGAATCATTTCATCAATATGCTAAGACATTTAATTCAGACACATTTGATTATGAGGCTTTAAAAGGAACTGATTTTGTTTTTATGAGGTGGAAGGAACATTTTTTGGTCCCTGATCATACAATTAAGGATATAAACGGTGCCTCATTTGCAGGATTTTACTACATATGCTTTCAAAAGTCTGCTGCTACAATTGAAGGTTTTTATTATCATCGTAGTTCTGAATGGTAATTCATACATTTAACTGTTAATATATTTTTCAAGCAAAAATAAGTATAATTTTTTTTTAAACATTGTTTTATTATATAGAAAATTAGGTACTAGGCTTTTTTATGAAAATATTATTTTGTATTAACTTTTTCGGTATAATGGATAGTTGTTGCATAATATTTAATGGGTGATAACAATGAGGAGTGAGAGTATTTATCACGAATTAAGAATTTTAAATAGTTCTTAACAAGTTCAAAATTTTTGGTCACTGATGTATAGTATTTTTTGTAATGTTAAGTATTTGTCATGTATAAAGGTTTTGCCACATATTCATATATCATAGCAACGATTAAACGAGAATAAATCGAGAATAACATCGATAAACGGCTCTATATGAACATTTAATGGCTGG